ACTGGTCTTGTGACGGTCTAAACTACAAAACTGTTGTTTACTCATGCACTTTTCTATGGAGCCATTGGGGGCCCATGGTCCGTTGATTACCATGGGAACGCACGTATGTATTAAACACAATGAATGGCATCATCAGTGCTAGAGCATATTATTTCTTTAAGCAAATAAAAATGACAATTACCATTTGTATGAAAGAACCTGTCTATGAGTTTGTGCTCTGATATCTAAAGGAGTCATTCATAGTTATAATCTAAGAACTAAAAACAGGTTGAAATCTTGCATTATACTCCCCTCCTAAGCATACCTTTACTATGTGAACAATCTGATCTAGAACTGGTAGAGTACCTCTTCTTGCAAATTCGTTTACCTTTTGTGGTTGAAGGGTTGGCCAAATAGGATGTTCTCCTTCAGAGACATGTTCAACAGCCATGCTTTCTGCCCTGCGTAGGCAATGGAGTTTCTGCTTCTGAGATAAAAAGGGTATATTCATACGCTCTTTTAGTCTCTGAATTCTCTTTTCTGGGACTGAAATGTCCATAACTGACTCACGGATACAATGAGAGCTGTTGAGCATTTGTGCTGTCAAAAAAAGTAGGGAATTAAGTTACCCGTTTATCACTATGGCCCCATTCTGCAGTGTCATTTCTTCCAACATGGCCGACAGAAGGGATGATTTGCCACTTCCAACTGTTCCAACAACCATTGTCAACTTTCCTGGAAAGTAAATGTGAAGAAAATCGGTTTGAATTTTGGCCACAGCTTGAAATTGATAGTGTATGAGCATGACAGAATACACCTCGACTGGTTTGCCCAAAGAGTGGGGGGTAGGACTCTGGCCGACATGGTCAACGTAAGGACAGGTGGATTTTGTAGGTTTTTCCCCCGATACAGTCAATATATTTAAGCAGTGAGAGTGAGGCGTTAATGATGTCGAGCAGATTTGGTGGGACATCTTTTCCTCTAAAAAGTGTACCTGCTGGAATAGTGATGTTCAGATCATGAAGTACCGGCTGATTTCTATCTGGATCCCAGGCAAAGCAGCCATTTTCAATCTGATTGAAAATTCAAGAGAATTTCGGTTATTCTCGGCCTGGCTTGATGTGACATTCATTAGCAGCCACATTGTTTGCTTGGAGGGTATGTTCAACTAGGGACTTTCTATGTCTTTGAGAGAATGCGATCATTACGACTGCAATGTTCCCCTGACATAAGCTGCTGCTCCCTTGAATGTAATGAGGTGGGGCACGTGGCCTAGTGGTTAGGGTTTGTAGCCTCTGATCATACGGTCGGGGGTTCGAATCCAGCTGGTGGCAGCATGTTGTGATCTTGGGCAAGTCACTTTAGCCCCATGTGCCTCTCTCCACCCAGGAGTAAATGGGTACCTGAGAGGGCAGACACGGTTGTTTAGCCATTTGTGCCGAAACGGCAGCACCAGGCTAGTATACTCCCTAGGGACCTGAGATGGTTTCAGGAATGTTCAGGCGATGTGAGCCCAATGTGCACGGATAATGATAACAAGCACGTAGAGACGTTCCCTAACATGCGCTTTCTAAGAACCAACTATTATTACTTTATTATAATAATGCCCTCACACCTGGCCACACCAAAATTACAATATCTGTTGTGCACATCGAGATGAAATCAATGACCTATCAACATCATATGCACGTATGCAAATGCAATGTATCTGTCCCAAAGAACTTTTTTTTGTCAGATGACAAGGTTTTCTCTCAAGTTGAAGTACACAGTCTGTTTTTGTAATCTAAAGGTGTCTTTCCATATGCACATTTTTGGGGTGCATTGCGTATGTGATGTGTTCATGCGTTTCACTTTCATGGACACAAAAATTGGTTTAACCTTGATTGCAACGTGACTGGGTAGGACCATCAGTGAGTCCAGGCTGGAGGACTTCATGAGCATGGAACCGTAGGAGCTGTTGGTCTCTTGGCTGACTGAGGAAACCAGCGATCCGCTGGAATCCTTACATCTTTTCACTTTTGTCTTCAACAGCGGCACCTCGATGTGATCTTCCTGATCATCATCGTCACAGTTTGGCTAAAATAGAAGAGGATAGCAAAATGGAACAGCTAAGTTTGATTTCACTTTGGAATATTGACGCAGAAGGTTTTGAAAGCCACCGTATTGACTCTAAGATCAGAACATTGGATTTAAAGATGAACATGCACAGTAATGATCTCTTTTTGAAAATCTCTGCACTGTTTCAATTTTCAGCTTTATTTCGATCCACCATCAGTTTTGGAACATTTACCGTGAGAAATGAATGAAATTCTGTTAAACATTCTCCTCGCATCGGACACTGGACAGAAAACAAAATTTTCCCGTCCACTCCGGTGCGCCAACTCACCATGTGATTTCCATTTCCCACCCGCACCTCGTGCATTTGCCTCTTCACTTTGACAGCACTGAGTGTCTTCATGTCTACCTCTGGCGCAGCTAGGAATGCCGCGAGACGCCCCGTGCTGATGCCACCGTTGATAGTGGAGAACAGGGCAAAGGGGAAGAGGAAGAAAGGGTCTTGGAGGAGCATGAAGAAGGAGAGGGAGGAGAAGGCTACATCGGGGGTCAAGACCTCGCCCATCAGGGCCGTGAAGGTGCTAAAAGTCTGGTAACAGAGATCAGAAAATTGGGACATCCGACGTCAAAGCTGTGCCAAAAATGCCTCACATTTATGATTTCTACCTCATGTGGGCAGTCACGATCATGGGCATACTCTTACAAAAACACGGTAATGAAAAACACAGCACTCTGTGCAGTATCTTTGCAAAATCGGTTTTTGCCAAAAACTTTAAACACTTTTCTTTCTGGAGAGATGACTGATTGACATTCTTTTTTTTTAATGGTGTTCATAAATGGCACAGAGGCCAGGAATGAAGACCAATTAAGCAGTCTGCAAGCCTTACGGAAAATATTCCGAAAACTGAATCTCGAGATCTTACCACTAATGTTGCTATGAGTGGTGTTGCCTCTGTCAGTGAACCTGGAAAAACAAAACCGACTTCTTATGTCAATCACAGATAACAAAGTAATCAAGCATGAACTTGGCCTTTGACAAAAAAAGGGAAAATTCCAATCTTTGCAAGACTCTGTTACAGTGCGTGTTTTTCAATTTCTATAGTTCCTATTTTGTTTACTGGCTTATGCTGCCTGAAACCACACAAACCTCAAAATTTCTTCAAATAGCTGTTAATTGGTTGAGCATCAAGCATAGATGTCTGCCAGTCTTTGTCATTATCGGCATGATGAGGGGGGAACTTCTGCTAGTCACTACTGGGGTCAATTTCATAGCACTGCTTAAGCAAACAATTTGTTTATGTGTGAGAAATCCTTGCTTGACAAATCAGGTTACCAGCCAAAACTTCTTGTGATGTATATTATTTTGGAATGGTATTTACCTGTCTTTTGGTTAGCTTGACAGTCACATAGAGTTTGAACTGGTACCCTTTGTTTATTAAGCAAGGTTTTTTCGTGCTTAAGCAAATTCTGTGCTTGAGCAGCTCTGAACTTGGCCCCGGCCGCTCTGTTGTTACTGCTTCAGCATCGGCCTTACCTATAACCCCATAGCACAACATCATCTTGCATATCGTCCAGATCTCCCACTGCCTTATCTTCTTGATCTCCCTGCCAAACAGGTCCTCCCAGCCGTACATCTTGAGTAGCTTGATGCCCTGCAGAACCTCGCTGGACAGCTTCAGGCGAACGTCGGCAAAACTCTTAAAAGTGCAGAGAGAGCAGTATGTTGGCATTCAATTTGGGGAACGAAATCTGCACATTACTGCCAAAGCAAGAGTTGAGAGTCAACAGATCCCCCAAATTCAGTTCTACTTCTAGGCCGGTGGCAGCAGGTAGGCCACTCACTTTTGCTGATTCTGGGGATACACATATATTTTTGAACATGCAGGCATATATGCTTCATGTAGTTCTGAGCACGTGCAAGACTGTTGAAACAAACCAGCAAGGCTGCCGTCCTCAGAATCTCACTGGTGGTGTTAAGTAACACTTGCCTCTCGTAAACGCTCCGTCACTTCTCAACCCAGTCACCTGTTTGTCATGATGTTGCCATTTTTGTTGTTTCCTGAAGACCAAGTCATACTAACGACCACACGTTGATACAGGGGAACTGACTAGTTCTCCTTCCGGCCTCCTTAATCACATTGATTTGAATCGTAAAAAAGCGAGGTAGCTGCATCATGATAGAGGTCTTTGTGTGGGTCCCTTGAATAATTGCCCTTTGCAAGAAAGATTCAGAAGGCTGTATCTGGCCATATCAGGAAGACTTGGCTATTTGCTAGTCGTGGCATTTGCCTATGGGAGTGGCTACAGTGGCAAGCCATGGGCACAATCATGATTTCAAGCTGCAGTCGTCATGAACTCAGACACTGCCAGGGACCTCATGGGGCAGCCATCTTTCTTTCCTACCATTCAACGCAATGTAACCAAAGTGAGGCTGGAAAGAAAAAATACTCTGTTCTCTTCCACTGATATGAGGAGTTGTATTACTATTGCCAAAGGGGCTACAGGGGACAAGACAAACATGGCAGCCTCAGGATAAAGATTCTCTGGCACCGCTTGTCTTACCAGTGTTTGTTCCTCCAGCTTCGCCATATACTTCCCAATAACAGCTTGTAAGGGAACAAAGACTGCAAACACAACCATGCCAAGAACGGCAGAATAGCCAATCTGACCGAGCAGCAGTGCCAAGGTAACGAAAACCTAGAAACCAACCAGCCAATCAAATCACTTGTTAGACATCAAACATCACACCAATTAAATGATCATTATGTGTGGTCCAGTTATCCAAATTTCTGATCTACAAGGCCCCCTCAATAAAAATGCAATACCAAAGTAACATCTGTTTGGTTTTTTTTTCAAAAAGTATTGCCAGAAATTGTTTAGTGTGTCAATTTAATGAATACCCCCAAGCATAATTTCAAAGGGGCGTTCCCATTTGCCCAGCACTGAATGCACGCCCACACATGTGACAGGTACCTTTCAAGTGTCTATTCAAACATGAGCATCTGACAGATGTATGCCCTCCACACTGCCAGCAGCGAACTTTGTGTTCTGCGGTGATGCCAGTGTATTCAATTTATGATAGCCTTTCATTTCCATCGAGTATACCCGTAGCCAGCGGTCAGTGTGTTAAAGCTTACAGTGTTCTCTCCTCATACTGACAATTTTGTTTTGAAGCTTTGTTGCGTTGGGATGGGGGCATGATAGATGGGAGAGGGAGTTGAAATGGAAGGTGTGGGGTTCGAGGGGGTTGAGGCTCCTAGCTCAGGTTGGTGTAGTGGCCCTTTCCTCACCTTCCACCTCTGTAAAGTGGGTTCGAATCCCACCTGGGTCAGCATGTGGATTGGGTTTTCAGTCCCTGCCTGACTCTGTGGGTTTCCCCTGGAATATTCATTGTGGGGTTTCCTCCTACCTCTAAAACTGAACATCTCTTCATTGTCTTTGTAATGATCACTTCGTCCTGTAAACTGGCACTGAATGCGCTGTTGGATAAGCAGATACCAATAGATTGAAAAATCCAAATACGTGTAGGTCAGCACACCTGTACGGGTACCGTTACCATCCAGCAAATGTAAATCATCATGGTGAAGATGTTCACGGCGTCTGTCGACATGTGATTGGCAATCTGCCCAGTGGTCATCTCGCCGCTGGAGATGACAAAGGTCGAGATGCGAAGCGACTTCTCAAAAACCATCGTCTGCAAAATGAAACCAAATTTCATCACAGAAACATTAATTTGGGCAATCAATGAAATTCTTATGTGAACATTAAATTTTTGATAACTCCAAAAGGCCTGATTAATCCTCAAATTTGAATAAGATTTTTTTCTGATGAGGCTTAGGATTAGCACTGATTGATAAGATCAATAGGCAATATCTCTGCCAAAAATGAAAGTAAATCTCGCAAAATTCCCCGAAATAAGTCCCTCAAATGGATTTTTCTGAAGGACGTGCAAACAGGTCATTTCTTACCTGGACAGCAGAGCGAAAGTGAATCCCCACTACAGCGCACCAATATTCGTATGTCTGCATTAGCAGTGTGCGAATACAGGCAACGATAAACGTGATTCCCACCAGCACTAAACCGTGCTGGAAAAACTCGGATACAGTGATGAAATGAGGTTCGCTGGCCACCTACAGAGATGAAATAAATAACTGAAAATGGATCTTTGACCATGCAAGGTGATGATACAACCCTCGAGATCCCATAATTATCCCTGAACATCGGCTACATACTGCAGCGATGTTCAACAATCATTTACCCTAGATAGAGCTCTCAGGATAGAACTAACTCATCAACAAATCCATCCTGCGTAACAAACCCCCTCCCATAAATGAAAATAAACCCAAAATTGATAATTTAGTGATAAAAAAGCTGAGCCAAGCCACACAAAAACGAGAACAACCCCCCCCCCAAAAAATGGCTATATTCACTATCAACTGACATTAATAGGAACCGATATTAGTCAGCAAAAGTTGAAATCACCAAAATATCTGAATATTTATCAACAAACCTGTGATCCATCTTTGACTCTCCCCACCCACAAGATGATACCGTTGAGGGCCACGGGACCCACATACCCACACATATCCCCTGACAGCTTCAAGACCAAGGCAAACACCATCCTCCATCCGTGCACAGACCAGTAGACCCTCCACAGGGATGGCTTGTGACCTTTGAACCTTGCCCGCTCCTGTAAGGAAAAAAAAGATTGTTTAATGGATTTAGTAGCCTTCATGAATTCATCAGCCTTCTCACAAAGTTTCTTCATTCTGAAATGTCTTTATTGATTCGACATATTTTTTTTTCAAATCTTGCATGACTGAGAAAACAAAAGTAAAACTGCCCAAAGATGTTTTTCGATTGGTTGTAAGAGGGTTATTTATTCATCAGCTCTTTGTAGAACTGCCTTTTCACGGTTGTAAAGCAAATGTCTTTATTTTGGGGGGCCTTACTTGCTCCTTCTGGAAGGCCGCCTTGAAATCTTTGTGGATGTAACCAGCAGAGTGGACCTCCGGGAGTTGGCCGAGGTCGTCTATCTCCAGGGGCCGTTTGTAACCCAGCCGAAATACCCAGTTCAGCCACCAGAAGGTCACCTCGGAGATGAAGCTGCTGAACTCTTCAGTGAACCTCATGGTCTTTGGTGGAGCAGGCTCTTCAGGCTTGTGAACATTTCCCTTGGAACAGGAAATCTTTGGCAGAGGATTAAAGAAGTTAATGTAAATTTCCAAAAAAGGAGTTGCCTGATGAGATTTTGATACAAGTTTCATTTAAGTGTATCACTGAATACTAGGGAAACAATGCCTACGCTTGATTTGGCATCAATAAAATTTGGCATCCTATAAAATTTGGCATCCTAAAAAATTTGGCATCCAACAAAATTTGGCATCCTATAAAATTTGGCATCCAATAAAATTTACACAAAAAACAAGAAGGGTATTTTCCACAACAAACGCATCATTACTCACATCACCAACCATTCAAATACAGAAAGAACCAACAAATCTCTCCAAATAAAATGAAAACCTTGTGCAGTGACGATTTTTCAAGAACACCTTTAAAGAAGGTCTTCTGGCAGGTCCATAAAATGTAAAATGTGATAATTACCTTTAGCCTGATGTTGTTGACTTGTAGTGAAACCAGTCCAAAGTAAGCAGCGATGAAGAGGACTGACAGGTCAAATCTCAGCACCTCGATCGACGCCAGCTCCATCTTGAGGAGGCTTAGGAGGTGAAGCACCTCGCCGGCCAGTGCCAGGCCCCAGTTGACTAGCAGGATCCAGGCCATCTGCCACTGCCGCCATACCTCCATGTGGTGGTAGCAGAGCATGGCCACGAAGGCCAACGCCAGGCCAGAGAGGGGTGGCACATAGAGGTGTGGCTGGGTGGGGTAGGCCACACCAGGGAGATCGTTCCAACGGAAGGACAAGTCGGTGAGGAGTCCCTCTGCCGTGGACAACAGATTGAGCAGGAAGACGAGTAACATGAGGATCCACTGAGCTGTGTGTAACGGATACCTACAGTGAGAAGACATTAACCAAAGATAAACAAGCATTCTAATATCGCTAAAGATTACACCCATCCAAACTGTTCTCAGTGGAATTTTATGACTCAAATGCATTGACAATCCTTTACATTTCAAACCTTCAAATTTAAGGTACTGTTAATATTTCTGTTGAACTGATTCACATGTGCGAAATGAGAGGTGCATGTTACCTTTTCCGATGTTTTGTATCCCAGCCATTATGGCACGAGCAACATCCTACGACCAGCAGGGTGAGTGATAACAGGGTGAAACAGGAAGTCTGAAGAATGAACTTGACGGCATCCACAAGGCAGACTGTCCGAAGAGCTTCATCGCTTTGCCAGAGGGAGGCATTATCACTGCAGAACCATTTCCAGGGATCGGTGTCCGTGTCATTTGCATTGTACATGGCCAAGTCTCTACGAGCCTAAACCCAGTGAGCAAAATATTTCAACTTTGGACCAACTAAACCTATGTTTTGTTGGAAGGGGTGGGGCTAGGGGGGAGGATAGCATTTAATCTTCTAAAATGTACTGCAAGAAGCATAGTCAGTGGCCCAGCCTCGCTGACCTAAGCTCAGACCACAGAAGACAACACAGGGATCTACAGTTTAAGAATCTGGAGAAAAAGACTAATCTCTTCATCTGCAGGTATTTTCACTTCCGAGTGATAAAAAGTGAAGAAAAGAATTATCTCAAGCTGACCAGGAGGGTAAGAAGGCAAAAAATGAACCATGGCTGACCCCTTCCCCCTAGAAGTGCCATGAAATTCATGATAACCTCAAATCTATTCCAAGAAATTTCAAATTTGGCATGATCAATGTAGAGAGTGAATGCATCGGTTTCACTTTGTGTCCCAGAAATTGTTCACATCAGTCTGTACATTATTGTCATTTTGAATCATTAAATCTAGCAAATAATTCTAAAGTCTACAAACAAACCTTGCTCGTACTGGGTAAACAGATTTGAAATCATTCAGTGAAAACCATCCAAGCGTGGTTCATACGCAAGACAAGCCCAAATAAAATCTGTTAGCTTGGTATGGGCCACTAAAAGTTAACTACCAGTGTTAGGAATGGGAGTACATGTAAGTTTCCTTCACCATGTCAAAGACAATGTGCGATTTTATATCATGATGTACCAACTATACGTGCAAGTTAATAATTTGCCAACAAGCACTGCAGTGGGACTGGAAAAAGATGGCACAGTGTGATCTTTGGTTTCATTGACTGCTCTTTACTGGCAGGCCTACAGGTGAAGATAACTGATGATTGTACAGATAGCGGCTTTGCTCGTGTCATCTCTGGCATAGGTAAGCGCATGGAGGTAAGTGGACCAAACTCCAAAGTAAAAATGAAAGAGTTTTTAAATTCCACAAAACTGATAGCTAACAAAACATAAATTCCAGCCATTCTTTTTCTGCAGAACAGAATTCTGGTAATTTTGATCATGTAAAATTCTGTTTTTTAACTAGTCTGCCAGACCATGTCCAATTGTTAGAAAACGTGCAGACCTAGGGCCCAAACTAATTGTTAAGAAAAGGCTTCCAGGGGTGACCATCTTGACATTGGTACCGCTGGGTGAGAATGATCACCAACTTAATTGACAAATGTTCAGATCAGATAACTGAAAATGGTGATTCTCCACAGAAAAGGATATTTTGTGGGATCTATCAAAGGAGAAATTAACACACCCCCCACAACACAAACCTTGTCAGAAGTTTTCTGGAGAGTGGTCGCAGACCGCAACGCTGCACGCCTACTGCACTGCTGAAGATCCGATCTTTATAACAATGTATGCAAATTTCATGTCTGTGTGTGATGCAATCTTCCCGTAAACAATGCAGTGCGCCCTCTGTTACTTAAACCAGGGCAGTAAAAGAATGAAAAACCCGAGCTATACTCTTGCTTTTAATGCAAAGGCGGTTTATTAAACCAATTCGTGGAGAATTTCTTGTAGACTTTATCTTCAAAATGTTACTTGAGGTACACACATGTACGTCTTGCCTGGGAATGCTTAATAATCAGGATTAAGTTCAGCGGAGTAATACTGAAGTGGTGAATGTCGTCTGCCATTTGGGGCCGGGAAAAAGTCAACCTGTGGGCCGGGGGTACCATGCATGACAGGTACGTGCACGCAGCTGGTAAGGGAGTAATGCAGTGCGATGTGCGATCAATGTTCAGCCCCAAACGAAGGTAAAGGACAAGAAATGAAGAGGTAAGAAATTTCGTTTAGGGAGGATATGTAGGTGATAACATATCATCAAGTACTTAATTTGTGAGTAGTGAAAAACACCCGTTCCTTTCAAGTGACTAAAAGTGAAATTTCGCGACTCATTCTACAAGTGACATTCAACATGGAGGCTCGACTCCCATGATGTGTACGTGGTTCCTGTTGATATTCATTTTTTCCCACTCCCTAACCCATGTCAGCTGCCTTCCATGCACTGATTCCCCCCCATGTTGTTGTCCACCAAATATTCATTCATTTTTCTCGCAAAGGATTGCTTTTTTCGACCAGTGATCATGAAAACGTAGTAATTAAGATGCAGACGTGCAAAAGGACCCACACATGTTGCAGCAGGTTTGACTTTACATACGTGCCTTAAAAATGACAATTTCGACAACTGGGTAATTGCAGTTACTGTGATTTGATCCAATATTAAATTTTACACCATTTTCTAACAGTTTCAACAGAACAGTTGCACGTAAATCGTGTCAGATAATGTGAATGAGCATATCTTCTACATCTTACCCATTGCAGTCCCCACGGCTTTTCAACAGTTAGTGAAACAATTCACTGGTTTGAGCTCTTTTCAACATAGCATGTGTTTTATTCTTTGATTTTCCACTGAACTGTTTTGTTTCCATTCATTACAAATTTGCATTTCACTAAATCACATCATCAGGAGTTACGTACATGTACCAATCAAACTTCAAATAACATACATGTAAATTGACTGAGTTCCATTGCGTTAAATGCGTAGTCCTTGAACCAAAAATATCAGTGCTGAACAACGAACTCTCGAAAACGTGGTACGCTATCTGAAGTGCAAAAACTAAAAATGCACTGCTCCAGAATATCAGCTAAATGCATTTTCAGGCCTCTACAACTCTAGATTTTGAGTGGACTCAGTTAGAATAAGAAACACTACGTTTATCATACCGGTACATGTACATTGCAAAGGCAGCTTTTTCAAATGTTTATAGGGAAAGAATGATCTACATGTTAAATCGTCTATTGTCGTTTGATGTTTATCATCATGCCGCATGGTGAAGTTTCTTCTACTCTTTCCCCGTTATTCACTTTTTTTCCAGGCAACACATTACATGTATTGACAAGTTAACCACATGTATTACATCACCACTTGTTTTCACTAAGCAATCACTAAGTTGTAACCATTATCAACCAAACATATTGTTGCATCACATATTAATTTGTTGGACGCATCACCTGCATGCTCCAGGTTTTTCCCAAATTAAAATTACAATCACAATTTAAGGTTTGACACACGAGCCATATCAACTGCATGGCTTACAACAAGCAATTAAATTCCCAACGTACAAAGGCAACTGTCAATGGAATATATTTAGGAAACACAAGAACGAAAATTAAACTCGCCATCAACTGCATGGCTTTAAAAAAGAGAAGTCATGAATCACAAATGCCATCAACTGCATGGCTTTAAAGAGAAGTCACAAATCACAAATGCCATCAACTGCATGGCTTTAAAGAGAAGTCACAAATCACAAATGCCATCAACTGCATGGCCTTGCGATTACAAAATCTGATTAAGTGAAATACATTTTATGATGACAACATCTCTGAACTGTCATGGCAGGCATAGATCAGCATGAAAACTGCTTCATGTGTATACATGTCACACATTTCGTTTCCAAACTAAGCTTACAATTTGCATCTTAGATAATATGTTATGTTTGCGATGCAACTTCCAGACACATGTCTATTACTTGAGAAAAGGAGGACTCATCGACTGCTTGGCCTCATATTTTCCTCAAACTGAAGTTTAAATCACAAATATAAATTATTAAGTAAAAACGGCCATCATCTGCCTGGCTAAAGAAAAAAAATCCAGAAAAATAGTTTCCATTGTACATTTGTATGGCCTGACAAAGGTAAAATAATTATGCACATCGCACTGAATAAAGCCATTATCTGCGTGGCCTTACGAAATCCCATTTCAGGAATACATGTACCTTTTATATAACAGTCTATTGTTTACTGACATGCATAAAGTTCTACCAACTTGAAAATTGTTTCATGTATTCATTGCTACAACTAATGTTTATTTTGTGATACAATTTCTTTGGTACATCAGTTAAGTAAAGGGAAGGCTCATCAACTGTATGGCCTCATATTTTCCTCAAACTACAGCTACAATCACAAATTTAGAATTGAAAAACAAGCCATCAACTGCATGGCTTCATGACTTGATTGTTGCAACTTGGCTCACCATTTTCACCAAACAAAATACATGTTTTGCAATCCAACTTTCTCTGACATGTCTGTTACTTTATAAAGAGAGGACTCATCAACTGCATGGCCTCCCACGTGCTTTACCTGAAAGTCAAGACACCAATTAAGATTTCATGAATTAGCAGTCAACTGCATTGCCAAAAAATCCCAAAAATACAACTCTGACTGCATCCATGATATTTCAAACAGCCATGCTCTGCATGCCTTTATGAGCACAAGATTAGTTAATAATTAATCACTTATAAGCCATAGTCGGTATGGCTGACAAAATATCAAGAATGTTACGCATAATATGCATTTCTCTTAAAATTCTCGTGAAATAGCATTGCAAAGATCTGTTTTTAGTTTCAGAATATTACAGTAAGAGCTGAATATACATGTATGTAGCAATCATCTGCACGGCCCAAAAAATATCCAAGGTGTTTAAGCCATGGTATCAATTGCTCTTAAAATTCTCATAAAACAGCCAAGGGCTTTTAGCTGCTCACAGAACATTACATTAAGAGTTGAATACAGCCATCACCTGCATGGCTGACAAATATATCCAAAAAGAATGAAACCAGAATATAAACGGCTCGTGAAATTCTCATTCGGCAACTTTGAGCTGGTACATATACTCATTACACTATATATTATACCCATCAATCGCATTGCCAATGAAGAAATCAGAAACATGTCACTGAAATAAATTTACATGGCTTTATCAATGTAAGAGTTAACAATGTACTGAAAGAATAAATCCATCATCTGCATGGCTCTCGAAAGTCTCGTATAACACCTAAGGCCTGGTAGTTTGAGTAAAGCCATCTATAACATGGCTGAGAAAACACCCAGAATTCATCTAATTAGAAACATCACTGAAGGTGACTTTATAAATACACAAATTTTAAATATCTACAGTAGAACGGATGACTCGCTTCATACTTATGGAGTAGCTTAAAAACCGTTTAGAAACATACTGTACACCTAGGGTTGTGTGCAGCCATCACTTGCATGGCTTGAAAAGAACTTGACAAAAAGGAAGGCCAGTAATGTACAAACAGCCTTATTAACGTAAAAGAAACTTCAAGCCAACATGGATAAAGCCATCGTCCGCAAGGCAATTAAATGCTCAAAGCATAATTCATCTGTTATTTACTTACTTAAGAATATTAGGTGCATGTTTGGAGTGTGTGAACCCCCCCTTTTTCCCAAAAGTACTTAACAATGCCATATTATTCTCAGTTCCTTCCAGCCATCATCTGCATGGCTCTACAAAAATTACTCCCAATAGACGGTGTATCTAACAATACTTAATTTGTAAAACAAAAAACTACAAGTAACCGCTAAAAATGTGGAGCCTTCCACAAGCTATAAGCCATCCATTGGACTTCTTGGTTATATGCTGTGGTTATCATGATATTGAATGTGATCATCTCCTACAATTACACTGAAAGTTACACGTACGAAAAATATCAGCCACGCATGACGTTTGTCATGGCCAATTCTTAAAATCAAGACTAAATGTAATTCTGTGGATGTTTAATGTGCCATCATCTGCATGGCCCTTAAGCAATTCAAAAGTCAATCTTTGTTGCCATTAACTGTATGTCAAAAAAATACTCACACAAAACTTTACACACGGAAGTTCTATATACTGTATATATGCGGTCAACAGTACTGCATATGTTTACGATGACGGCAAGTTTCTTACCTTAGGTTTTCTCTAGTGTAGTATATATATGTATATGTCCCTGCAGCTTGCTACAATACATTGTTTACTTTTTCGCATGAATGATACAGGAAAAAGGGCAAAATTTATAGAGGAAATAAATGTCTTACTGATACCGAAAGTAGTCTTTAGCTAAATAAGCTTATTATGGTACAGAAATCTGTAACCATCAATACATGAAGTTGTTGCTACAAACAAATAAACAAAATAAAAAGTGAACTACTCTACAAAGCACAGAAAGCTTGGCAAAAACATGGCTGCTTAAATGTCGTTGCCATGCTATTTATCTTAAAGTGAGCCATCAACAGAATGGAACTGTTTCTGCTTTTCAATGAAAAGGCCAAATCATTTAAAGCAGCGTCATTTAGTAACATACTACACAGTTTTCAGTATCATTATGAATCCAAGGTGAAGGTGTGGTACACTTGCACAGCCTGCACCTGTGTGTAGCATGGTAGTTTCTTCTGAGTTTGGAGAGAATAATTATCTGTTTAATGTAAAAAAAAAAATGAAGAAAAGGTATGATGTCAAAGAAGAAAAGAACATGCAAAAAACACCGGCATATACTAAAAAGCTTTAATATTTTTTTACAGAAGTCACATTCTTTTTGTTACACACCTTTGCAACCTGGCCTTCAGTATGAGTCAGTTAGGTGTGCTTTCTTCGTTCCACGACGTTTTCCCTTCACTGCCTTTTCCTCTTTGTGCTTAACAGAAAGAGACACGATAAGACATCATTTATTACAGTGAATGCAAGAACAGACCATGTAGGTTTTTTATTTTAGTTCAAGTGCAGTTTTCAAATGTTGATATGTGCGTTTACGTCAGTCATCCAGTTCCTTTTTTTTCTTATAGAATCAGTGGTGTGTATACATGCATTTAAATCTCTTAAATATATAAAAGACATACCTTGATTGTCTTGTCGAGAAATTCTAGAAGACTCACAATGTGACACAGTTGTGTTTCTTTGTGAAGATGAGGGATCACGCTGTCATATCCGACCATTCCTCCCAGAATATCTGGAAGCCGATCATTGCAGTTTGGATGAAAGTCCTGTCTTGCTCTGAGGTAGCGATAAACAAACCTCTTGAGGATGTCCCGGAATTGTGTGACAACATCTGGGGGACTGTCTGCACAAAATTTTTCAAGTTCATGTTGAGATTTCAGAGGGAGCTTTGCACGATGTTGTCTGCCAAGAGTCTGTATGACAGCCGCTGCCAAGAGAACCTCCAACTGCTGGTAGAGAGCAACTATGTGCTTCAGTTTGACAGATCCTAACAAGTCAAGAGATTCAGTTGAAATGATTGACTTCCATTTGTTGACAAAATCTTCCAAAGTTGCTTCCGGATCTCCACTGGTTCTCTTGAGAAGTCCCATCAGCACTTCTACCATTTGAAGTAAGTCATTTGTAAAGGTACCATGTCTTTTTCTATCTCCTTGAATGACCAAATTTACAGTATCCTTTGGCAAAGATTCTTGTCTGACTTTGAATGCCACATCTTTTAGAATGGTTGCTGCAGAACAGAACAAATCATCAGCAAAAATAAAGCCATCATAAGTATTCCCATCGGTAAGAACCACTTTGTTCAGGACAGTATTTAAAGCCACATCCATCTCAATATGGTTCAGGTCATAGGAGATCTCTGTTCCATGACCGTATTCTGTATTGACATCATGATAGCACAGACATCTGTCAGATGGGAGAAGAATGACGTCCTTCTCTCTCACCTGGTTCAGAGGTTTTGTTGCAACGGCAGCAAGATGGCTGTCTTTGACAAGGAAGCTGATAGCTGGACAGTCTGTGGTTGCAGCAATCTCAAGTGCCCGCCGCAAGAATGAGTTTTGAGCTTCCTGTAAAGCCTTAATCATCCGTTTCAAAGTGTTCTGCTCTGTTGTTTTAGGCATAAGACACTCCTTGATATGAGAATTCAGAGTGATGTCATCTGGATGATTGGTTTCACCAGTGAGTTCAGTCCATGAAGCGCAGACATCATTGAATGCAGTCATAAACGTTGACCAAGGTTCTGACATTTTTGGCTCAGCATCTATCAAGGTCCTGATGGATTTGTTACCATATTTCCGTGGAGCTCTCTTCTGGCTCAAGTAACTACTAACCAGCAAATTCCAACTCAGTAAGGTTGGAAGGAAGACAATATACTTCAAACAACTGTGTCGAGAGAGCACAAGATGGAGGAAGGGAAAATGTCTTGAATTGTGGCTACTGTGATCACAGAAACATGCTCGGAGGTCTTCGAGTGATGGCTCGCGTTTATAACGACTCAATCTCTGTATAAGCTTGCTTGTGCTGCTGTCGGTGTTGTCCAGTTCATTGAGTATGGGACAGATGGATTCAGCTGAAATATCAGATGCTTTGTATGAATTTTCCAAAAATTGCCGTTTGGCACGTGTTGAATTTTGAAGCACCTTCTCAACTACATTGTGTATCTGCATCTCTTGGTGATCTCTTTCAGAAGGTGAGGCACCTGTGTACTCTTTAGATACCAGGACCGGGGATGCCTCTTTCACGATGCAGTGAAGTAACACAGATGTATCTTGGATGTTAGCTCTGAATACCACAGGTAAAATGGACCACAGCTCTGCCAATCTGGCCTCCACGTTATTACCCTGACAAAAGGGGACCTTTTGGAATTCATCAGGGAAGATTTCAGATGCAATGTAGAGACATCCATGAACCATGAAGTCAATGACCAATTGTGATGCGATTGACAATTCCCTGGTATCCATCAGCTTATTCCACAACGATCGCACAGGAGAATAATTGTATCCACTTAGAACTTGGGTCTGTTGCCTCGACCCATTCTCATCACCAAGGGCAGTCCTAAATATTGCATCACCACAAGTGGGACACTTCTGCTGCTGTTGGTGCTGCATATCCTGTACATAATAAAGACCACAATAGCATGTTGCTGTTCTGGTGCATACGGTTTCAGTTGGATGCTTCTCTGCAGCTGGGAAAAACATCTCTTTGTTGGATACAGCTCCTGATGAAAACAGCTGTTGGAAGGCACTCTCTTTATCACCTGGCTGCAGTTGACCAAGTATGACAGTGGCAAGATGCGTCAGCACCAAAGTCAGTTGGATGTCCTGGATTTCTGATTTCTTGGAGAGACGTAGTTTTCTGTTGAAGTCCGACACCCCTGAAATACCTCTCAGGATGTAATACCATGCTGTTTTATGAAGGCTTGTGCCTTCAATTTGTTTCACAATCCACTGAGCATCAGACTTCTCTGAGTCACTGAGATCTCTTGTTGTTGCAACCAGAAAGCAGTAATCAATGAGGACTGCCGTAAGTGCAAGGCGGTGTTTTGAGGAGGACTGTAGGTTACAGATCACAGTCTTCATCTGGCCTTTATTACGTTGATCTTTCAGTACTGCAAAGGCATTTCTCACATCTGTGTACAGTTCCAAATAATTTACTGGACTATAACCAGTGAGTGGGTCAAAAAGACTTTTGCAGTTGATCCTTTGGAAGAACACCCCTGAACTGGAGAGAGAAAACACAATTCCTCTCAAGTTACTCAGTGTGAGGTCCTTGCGTGACATATATCTCAAAATCCATCTCTGAACATCGATTGGCTTTTCACTGCTGTCTAAGAACTTGGTTAAACTTCTGAGTTCGCTAATAAGGGAAAGCTTGGTCTCATCACTTTGATGAAAGTTCTCAGGGCGGCTGCTGTCCGTGAAAATCTCTGCACAAACATGAAACAGCTTGTTCAGAAAGGCCAATGCACATAGAGCTTGGAGAGAACATTCATTGGAGGTATCAGCGACTCGGCTTGCGGTGACAGATGTGGCCACGGTCCCAGTCAGATTTTCCATAAGTGTATGACTAGTTAGGTTACAGAAGCCCAGTTCTCCAATCAAATCACAACAGAGGGTTGCAAGATGAGAACTGAACCCATCTGGTTGGGTTCGGAGCAGTTCGTCTAAAATCACGAGGTTGGCCGAATGTCTATGCTGATCCAGGCCCTCACAAATAACTTCCTTGTACACAGTATCTTCTTCTGTATCATCAATTTCACTTTCTATGATACGCCACATCACCAACCGTGATCCTTCAATTAGACGCTCATCATCAGTGACCAGAGATCTGCAGATGTCCTCCATTAAGGGAGTTCCAGCATTAGCACTGATGCAACGACCAAAATACTTGGACATAAATAAGTGCAGTTTGGTTGTATCTAGCTTTCTGCTGCTTTCCCCGAGCCGGATGAATTTGATGGTCTCTGATACGAAATCTAGAATGGTTTTGCGGTCCAAAACATTCTCGTTCTCGGGGACAGCAATCAGCTCACCAAGTCTGGCCAGATATTGATCAGGAAGACCACTTGGCAAGGCCAGCAAGTTGACAAAATCTTTGCAGAGGTGTAAGTAAAGGAGTTCCTTGGGTCTGACCTCAATACTTGCTGCTGCTAATAAAATGTTGTTGACAAATCGAACCCATACTTCCTGACCTTTGAATTTTTCCAGAAGACTTCTGTTTGGGAGCAAAGATTTGCATATAGATGAGACCAGTTGAAACTTTAACGTGCCTTCTTGATCGGTCTCCTCTTGAAGAGATGCACTGTCGTCTGATTCCCCATAGTAACTTTCAAGGGCTGACACAAAGGATTCAGTTTCAGATTCAGGTTCATCTGGAATTTCGTCATTTGCATGTACAAACTCCTCCGATGTGTCACCCTCTCCATCAGAAACCATGGCATTCTTGAGACCCACGAAGTCAACTCCATCCCCCTCGTCATGGGTATCAGTTACTGTCTGAAGAAGCTCCTTGGCATCATTACCAGTAGCCTGATAGTAAATGTGTAAAAGCTGGAGCTCAGAGGCCAACAGCTCAGAATTCATGAATAGTGCGATGTGCCATTTCGAGAGCTCTTCCTTTGCTGAAGAAACCTTACCCAGTCCGGAAACTTGATACTGTACAAGCAGCTTGGTAACACTGATACGCATCTCTTGTGGCATGAGGCCGGCATACATGCCAGAGAAGACATTACATAGGTCACCCAGATATAAGTTGATGTGCTGTAGCAAGAACTCATCGTCAACAACCCGTGACACATCATACGTTATAGCATCTGGAAGTTTGTTGTTCAAAATGTTTGTGAGATTCCTAGTCATCTCATTCGAATTACTTCGAGATTGCTCTGCAACAAGTTTTGCCTCTGCTTCTGTTCGGAGGCACATCATGTGATTCTCAACAATGGTGTACAGCTTATTGAAAAATGGGAAATAGAGAGCCGGTGGCAGAGACTCAACCTTACATGATTCAACCCCTTTTGGATCTGGAAGAGAGGCTGACTGGACATCACAAACTGACGGATTCATAATCATGGTTTCCCAGATGCTTTGACACTCCTCTTGGTCCAAGAAGCTGCTCCATGCATTGTTTTCCTCGAGAAAGAACACGATCTTAAAGAGAGGCTTGCTGATTCTTCTTTTTACGTGCTCAATCAAAGCATGGATAAAACTGGCGCACTCAAACAGTAGTTCATGTTCACATGCAACAGCAACCTGCCAGCTTGTTTTGACAATGCAGAACTCATGAATAACATTTTCCTTGATGTCGTTTAAGATTTTTCTGGAGAAGCATTGAAGTAGCTCAGGACATTTGACAATCCTTCCAATTAACTGGAGGATCTCATCTACAGGTCGAGACTGATGATTGTATGAGATGCAAGAGAAACACCACAGAAGTTTGTCCTTTATGACCGATTCAATGTCAACCAACTTGGCACAGATATCAGAGATGGACATCCGGATGACTTCCTTGATCTGAAGCTCTGGTTGCTCGAGTGAATCAAGTGTTACTTGTTGCCAACCACATAAGAAGTTGAACTGCCACGGAAAGTTGATGGTCATTCCCCCGACATTCTGATCCCTTTCTACATGCACAATCATGCAGGCGTACTTTGGTCCATTAGGAGACTTTGCTTTGGTGTACTCCTCTAAACTCTTGTCGATTTGACATTTGGCTAGAAGCATGTGTTGTGCATCAAGAGATGTTTTGCACTGAAGAACAAATATCTCATCTTCACTTTCATTGAATCGTTGAAGTGCTTCTGTTAACTGCCTCTCCGATTTGAATTGGCTCAGTTTTGCAGGGTGCATCTTCAAGAGTCCATCAACACAGGAGGCCAGGTCAACATGGATAGTGCAGTAGGTATACACTATTAATTTACATGGACGCATTTGGAACTCACCATCCACGACTGATGCAAAAGGGCCTTTGTCAAAGAGAGCATGTTGAAGGAAATACTTCAGTCCACCATTCAGAGGAAGCCCAAGATAATTCGTTTGAATGTATTGTACCTCATCTTGTGCTTCAAGTGCCAAGCGGGACTTTGATGCTCTAAGAATGGCATCAGCTGTCGCTATTTGCAGGAGATCCTGCTTGCAGATATCTGCAATGTCTCTGAAGTCCATGTTCTCGGTGTTTATCTGTTGGCAGCGAAAAGCTACAAGAGAGGGAAGGGTATCACTGTGATAACCCAAGAAAGCTTGATCTGGAGTAAACTGCATTTCTTCAATTGTGGAGATGTCCTCAACCCACTTATGAAGAGTGTCGATCGCTCGTTTCTGCGTATCGTCAACTATATCCATAAATGTGAGTGCCTGTTTCTCAAATCTGTTCAACAGAGGAGGATCTGAGTAGTCAACATTCTGTTGGTCAATGATGACAATGCAACGAAAATTCTTGTGCACCTGGCACATTGGATTGCTGTGGGCCCCCAGTGCCACACGGCAGTGTCGTTTCTTCCCCACAAGAGTGTAATTCTGATTCAGCATATCGTACAAGCTGCTGTACACATTTTCCAAGTCCCGGAGAACAAGAATGTAGCCTTCTTCCATGCACAGGATGATCTTGCTCAGGATGCGGTAGTTGTATTCTTCAGATATGTCATCGTCAAATCTGCTTCCAAGGAGAATGATAGGCTTTTTGTTCAGCTCATACAAAACTCTTTCAATGATGCTCAAGGCAGAGTCTCCACTCGTTATCAGCATGAGATGGCGAGCATGTCTGTCCTCAAGATTGTCTCTGATAAGGTCCAAAGCTGATGGACTTCTCTCGGGATTAAGCCCTACACCCAGTGCTTCCATGAAGTTGTTCATGATACTTGCCATATCAGATCGAATGCCTCCAAAGTTTCGACGGAGTCCACTTTCTAATGAGCTTAGAACTCCTTGTGTGCCTGTCGGCATTGCCACACTTTTGATTAGAGAATAGTAATCTCTCAAACCATGAAAGTTTGCATGCGACTGACAATTCTGGTACTCGTGGTATGCTTTGGCAAGCTTTTTCAACTGTTGGTCATCTTTATCTACATGCGTACTATCAGTCTTGGTGCCTCTACGCTGCACGCCTTCATCTCGAATCGACTTTGCTGTCTCGAATAGATCATTTTCGTTTGGTTCGGGCCGGGACAGGTGGACAGCACGGTTCATTTTTGCAGCATCAAGGGCCCAGTTAGATATACCAACTACAGCCATCTCAGGAAAGTCACCTGTACTAGGTTCCAGCAAGCTATGGAGGACCTTGAGTGGATTGAAGGATGACTTTTCTGCCAGGCCAATTTCATCCAGAAGGACAACTGGTATGATGTCTGGATTATGCTCTTTGTATCGTTTTGCCTTTTCAAAGACCTTTATGATGCCTTCAGATGTTGATGATTCAGATCCTTGATAGGAAACAACATAGACGGCAGGCAGTTTCTTGAAGAAGGCATCCCTTGAATCAGGTCCCCTTAGATTGCTGCGGATAAGCTGCATTGAGAGTGACTTGCTACAACCGGGTTTTCCTACCAAAAACACCGGTATCCTGTTCAGGATGGAAATAAGTACAACAAAGACATTCTCTCGTAGTGCCTCATTCTTGGCTATACCCTCTTGAAGCTCCATTCTGTTGAGGATATCAAGTTGTTCGTTCTTGATAACTTCTTCAATGTGTTCTTCATGGACATCGTGATGTTTGTTTTGAAAGCGCTTGGCCACTTCTTCTCTGTATTTCTTTCTGTCGTCAGCTGATGACAACCTTGAATGATAGCAGTGAGCCAGTGCAAGGACAATAGCTCTGATAAACGAGTCTCCTTTGAAGACTTGGTTTGAAGGATGAAGTCTGGCGAGGCCCTTTTCATTTAGCATGCCTGTCATCCATTTTGCTAGGTGTTTGCATCGATTTATGTCACGAAGGCTCACACAGTACCTGTTTTCCATGTTACTCTTGATGAAATTTTGCGACATTATCAACAGGTCAACAAAAAGAGGTATCAAATCCTCCCTGACGTCATTGACCATCCTTTGCGTGTATGCTTCTTCATCCTTTGCATTTAGCGCTCCATAATCCCATACATAGTCCATCAAGGCCTCTGGAAGGGGATGTACCCTGTACACTAACTTGGACTGCTCATCCAAGACTAGCTTTTCAGTTAACCCTGACGTGCTTAACTTTCCTGTTCGCAGTGAATATGGATTGCAGGCTGCAAGGAATACCAAATTGTGAGGCAGCTGTTTGCCAAGACAGCTTTGATGGCAGATAATCTCACTTAGTAATCCAAGGTGATCGCAAGTATTGATTTCATCTAGAAAACACCAGATCTGCTGATCAAGGTTAGCCTCAGCATGTTTTTGCATTTTATTGACGAATTCAGTTATTGTGTCCTTACCGATGCCGGCGTGGAAATTCTGCACATAGAAAGGAACCTCACAGATCTTTGCTAGATATGTGATGAGGGTAGTCTTACCGCATCCCGTTTCACCCATGATGACCACGGGGACTCGTGACTTTACCCGCATATGAATCAACACCATCTTCATCATGTTGTCAGGGGTAAGAGCATACATAGTTTTTAAGTGGCCGAGATTGCTCTTGTCAAACTCATCACGGGTAGTTCTGCATATTCGTTCCAGAACTTGTTGCAGTTGATCTTGTGACATAAGTTGGTAGTCCGGAAGTTTGTTGTCGAGCTGGTTTTCAAACAAGTTTTTGACACTGTCGGGCACTTGGCTGAGCAACCGATAGAGGGTTGAACAAGTCTGTGTGTCTTGTTGGTTAAAAATTACCATCAGATGGTTACTATCTGCCCACTGAACCATGCCTTTTACCCGTTCTACCATTTTCTCTGCCGTTACAGTGGCACCCTGTTGATGGTCACTTAAGGCACGAACTGCATCTCTGCCAGTCAGCAGTTGTGTCCCACTGGTCTCGACTGATCTTGATGAAAACTCTCGGGCCACAGCATCGAGGGCCTTGAAAAGATCAGATCGTACTACATGTGGACCTGGCCCCAGCATATCCCGGAGAGCTTCAGTGGTGAAATAGTGAGAAGCTGACATTTTCTTCAGTTCTGTAGCAAGGGCACTCAGAAACATGTTCACGATGGTAAATGACATTTTTGAGGTTGGTGAGAAACTGTCTACAAGAAGCTTCCTGCACTGATCATCTGAGAGGATTTTGTCCTTCAAAGACCCCGTAAAAAATATTTCCTTTGAATCAAGTGTCCCATCTTTGACTGCTTTCAAGTAGTGGCAAACTACCTGAACAGGGCTGTTGGCCTCCCGACTCACCAGAAAACTGCTGTAATTGTCCCATTCTATGTGTTTCCTTTTGAAGTTACAGCAGTTAATCAGAGAGTCACGGAGGTGGTGCTTATGAGTGTTTGCAATTTCGATGAAGACTTCATTGCAATTCAACTCACACAAATGGGTACCTGCGACAACCATTCCAACAACCAGGAGCTCAAAAATGAAAGAATCAACCAGACTCGCGTCCGAGGTGGATCTCACATCGATGTGAAGCACTTGAAAGTCAGCAGGAGATTTCTGAAGTAGCTGCTGCACCAGGCTTATCTTCGTCAAGGGACCTCCAACTTCAAACGCAATGGCATTTTTCTTCTTCTCTGCTGCCTTACAAGCTACGTATTCTGACTTCCCAAGGCCAGGCACTTCAGATGTAATTACTTCCACATTTGGCCATCCTTGCTCTAAACAGTCTCTCATCTCATTAGCAGTCATCCCTTGAATTTGATGGGTGAAGTGAGGAGAAAACTGGTCAATGATATGGTGGTGGCATCCTCCTCGACAGATGATAGCTAGCAGAAAGGATCTGTCATTCTGCTGGAGTTCCTTCACTTCATCCACCAACATTAACTGCACTTCAGTTGTCAGTTGCTCGACGTTGATGAGTGCATATAGGTCATGAGACTTTCTCTGTGATGCTTTACGACATCTTTGCAGCAGGAGATAAACTTCTTTCCAACTAGTCTCTGGGTGGCAAAATAAAACTTGGTTTGCCAGAGGGTACTTCCCTGTTGTGCTCTGTAGCAAAGTCATTAGGACTGGAATGGACTTTGTGCTCTTAGTGTCTAACTCCGCTACGTACACGTTACCAGGTTGAACTGTGTTGTCAACGGAAGCTTTAAGGCTCGGTTTCAGGCATTTTATATCTCTTGGCTCACACAGTAAGTTGGAAAAGATCTTATCCAAAGCTTTGCCTGTCTGGAATAGCCGAGCCTCGGCATTTACAGTGTCTTCCGGTTCTTCATAATGCTGTATTAATTCACTGTCCACACTTATTTCAGGGCTCACGTAGTGAAAAAGATTAACAATGTCGGCATTGTTATCAATCTCACCCCTGAAATACTGGTCAAGCATCCATAGCTGCTTCGAGTGGTAGAAGTTCAAGAAGAAGTGCTCCTGCCTGCCTTTTTCAAGAAGTTTTTTCCACTGAGAGTATTCTGTCTTCAAATCCTGCTTTAGGAGCAGAAGGCTTTCTACACCAGACACATCTTCTTGAAAGCTCTTGAAATGGTAGTGACCCGCATTTGCTAGTCCTGAGCAAAGCTCAACGATCTCATTAGCTTCGTCTACACAACAAATGAATTTCTGAAGTAGGCTGGACATATTCTCTCTCTTTTCTCCTTCTGGACCCTCGGTTTGATGAGACACTCTAGAGTTGACCATCAGTAAAGCTCTACTCCGCAAGTCATTAAGCTCGTCTCTCTCGAATGTTGCTTTCGAACCATCCTCTCTAGCATAACTCATAGAAACTGCGCAAAATTCCTCACCTTCTTTCAATAGAAATGTGTAAGCTCCCCCATCAATAGCATCTGTGGATGATTTTCTTGGTCATTTCTCCTCTTTGAGCAATGTTGTTGTACAGATTCTTCAGAGCATGAAAGTGATCATTGCAGGTCTTGATCTTGTCCGAAATATTCTTTATGCCAAGGTCTCTGCTTTCAGCTATGGCATTAATGAGATTTTCTGGTGTGTCGAGAACCCCAACTCTCAGGAAAGACCCCATATATCGCTGAACTTCTATAAGATCTGATACTGTTGATTCATTAACGAAAGAATCCGACCTCTCCTCAACTGCATCAGTAAGGTTGCGGAGATCGTCATCAATGATTGGCTTCAGAAACTGAATTAATTCCTCAAAATTGATCAACTCGTCTATTGCCCTCCAGTCTTCGTCGGTGAACTTCTGATCTACATCCTCAATTCTCTTTACAGCAAGATGTACCTGCTGTAATGGTTCGGTGGAATTCACGGACTCAAAAATGTTGAGTAGCATGTCAACATCCTGAATTAGCTGGCAACTAGTATGACAGGGCACCTCAAATGTTTGAAACAGACACCGTAGCTGTTTCGCATACTGTCGAATGAGCTCCAGCTTGACCCAACTCTTCAGGAGCACCTTCGCTTGATCAGTGATGGTTTCATCACTGAACCGCGACATGATGTCCAACTCGACAGAGAGCTCATGTTCCAAGACCCCATTTAATGCAAGTTTTATATCACCAGCTCTTACTCCTTCACACCCCTGGGCAATATCTGTGCACAGGCTTCTGAACTTTGGCAAGCACTTCTTCGAAACCAGTTCAGCGAATGAAATTACTTGTAAAGGCTGCTCTTCCTCCATATCATAGCTTTCTTCCTCTACTACACAAAGACACAGGTTGAAGAAGACCTTTGACTTGGCTATATCTGAAACTACTTCTGCTATTTCAATTACTGTATGCAAAACGCCCCAGTAATGTGCAATAACAAGGCTCTTCAAATCAACATTACTATCAACATGAATATCCTGCCGTCGAAGATGAACTTCTTCCCTCATTGCTTCCAAGTCATTCTGACAAGTATTCATTGCAAACCCCTCATAAAATGTCAAAAAGTCTTCACACTTATCCAACAGATACCCATGCCTTTCGATTACGCCCACAGCTTCTTGGAATGGTTTTTCGTTTATGGCAAATACTTCTTTTGAGTGGGAAGTTACCATTTGGCACAACAGACGCAATTCATCAAGCTTTTTTGTTTTTACCAGTTTGTGGATAAACCTGACTGAGACGGACATTTTCACGAAGGACTGCTGGACGGACTGCAGTAACTGGATAACGGCCTTACTCCTCTCTTGGCCCCATATTTCTGAAGCAGATTCACCTCTTGCCTGGAAAATGAGCTCCCAAAAACTGAAGTCTTCAAGAATTTTGAAGATATCACGTTGATCTGATACTACTTCGATGATGGTTGAAGTGACGTCTGCAGCGGGTCTGTTGAAAAAGAACATTTACAATAAAGTAGAAATTAACGCTGTTTTTAAATGTGCAAGACCCTCTAACTTATTTTTTGTTTTCCATCGACACTCAACTTAGGTGAATTTAGGTTTAAAAAGGAGGGAAAAGAAAAAATCGTAAGCAAATTGTAAACAGAAAGCGTTAGTACTTTGAAACAACAATGATGCTTACTTTGAATGAACGCCTAGTTGACCATTAGGTGCATACGGTGACAGCAGCCTGCAAGCACTGTAAGGTGTAATCTGTCTTTTTTGGATCATCCAGATTGCATGCATTGTCACAATTTCTATTTCTTTCTGGGAGCGAATTTCGCTTGTGTCATTGAGTGAGTTCGTGAAAACTTTTTGTAGCAGTGTGTTGAGTTGGTTCTTTTCGCTGATAAAGTTCTTTGCCCGGTTGTCCATTGTTTTTATCAGATTTGGTAGGTCTTCGAGCCACTTGGTTGTGTGTATCGTGCTCAGGAAGAGGTACATTTTGGGTAAGAGATACGAAGGCTGCACCTCTAGTTGAAGCTGTGATAGAAAGCCCACTTCAGTTAACTTCTCCAGCTCTTCAGGGCTTAACCATTTGGTGACCCACGTCTTGCTTACAACAGTAAGGAAGGAGTCGATACCGGCCTGTTGATTCTTCTGTGTCAACATCTTTTTAAGGACAGCACGGAAGTTGCTGCAAAGGTTGACATCTGCAGATGTCATCCAAAATGTCTCATCCGAAAACCAGTTCTTTGCTGTGTTACTTGACCACTCGTCGCAGTGGGTCAGGGCCTCAAGGACAACCTCTCTTGTCAGCAGCTCTAAGGCGAGAGTTTTCATTTCATAGACCATTTTCCATACGTCATGAAGCCCCTCAACATTTTCCTTTGTCAGCGTCTGCATCTGCTTTTGGATCGTATGTTTCACCCAGCTTTTGTATACATCATTGTCTCTGAAGACGGGAGATTGACCGTGTCGTTCCAACACTTGCAGCAGCACCTTCACAGGAACGTTGCTCTCAAACACAAGACGGAGAAGCCTCGCATCGTCGTCAGAAACACAGTTCTTGCAGCAAAATGACAGGAGGTCTTCATAAGGAACTGGTTTTAATTGAGCGCCAGATACTGAGGTGTCACTCTTCCAATTTTGTTGCAACCTGCACAGATCTCCAGCATTCAGTAGTCCAGGATAAGTGTACTGGACTAACTGCAGCCAACTCCCTTGAACTGTCCGCAATGAGTGTACGACTATGTCGACCAGATCACACACCATATCTTTGTTTTTTGTCTGGTCTAGAAAAGGATCGATGATCTCTTTGCAGTTTACTAAGGCCTGCAAAATTGTACCTCCAACTTTCTTCAAACTAGGCAATGCTGCCTTTGTGGAGCAATTGCCCAGCAGGCGTGCAAGGAAGATCACCTGGGCATCTGATGAATGTTTACTCTTGATAAGCTCCGTTATATGAATCTGCACAGATTTTATAACTTTCTGATCTTCGATGTTGGCTTTTAATATACGTATCTCACTGGCATGGTTGCTGTCAAGTGACTGTGATAGGTTGTTTGCTTTCACTGCATTGCATCGACCCACTTCATGCAGGACTCGACCCATGAGTACCTTTTCAAGGGATGATGATGTGTCAACAAAGACATCCTCGTGCACCATCGACTTTACTGGTCTTTCGTCCTGCTCTGTGTTTTCGACTTGCTTGTAGAAGTTTCGTAATCCTCCATTGTACTTGTAAGCATATTTGTACCTGTATTTGTGTCCGGTCACCAGTTTAACTTCCGAATAAGCCCTCTTCCAACTTGTGTTGGAGAACTTAGTACTAACGTTTTTAAAAGCCATAGGGATAACCATTCTGTGCGTCTTTTGGCCCTGATCTTCGTAAAGGTAAAGGAGGACCCCTGAAGCTTGTTCGGCTTCAAGCAGAACATGAAACTGGTAGGAAGTCTAAAGCAGAATGAAATTAAAATAGAGAATGAAATTTACAAGTAAATTTATACGTTCCTGTGGCTTCAGTGTTTAGGTGCCTCTATACCAAGATTATTACAATCACTTGAATGTAAACGTAGGCGAAAGACAACTTAACACTGCCCTGGTGGTGGATGTGACAAAAGACAAAAATAGAGTAAAATATATTTACCCACTGCGAAGCAGCATCAGGGGTTGAAAGAATGTCATCTGTCACTAGTGACGTTTTTTCAGGAGTATCCAATAAACTCGACCTGTATGAATCAGCAGATGTGTTCCTTTCTCCCACCATCGCAGCATTTGGGTGTTTTACAACATCTTGCAACTAGGAGTGGAAGGGTAGTTTCGTTCACAATTTTAGCCATGTAGTGTTTCACAAGCAACTTAGGTGCAAAATACAGATTTGGTAAAGATTTCAAAAGAAAAACACGGTCGTAACTAAATTATTTACCATTGGCTGTTCGGTATGCGCTACTTGTGGAGTTGTCTGTGAGTCAGTTAACACGCGAGCCTCCTCTGACTCTTCAGTAGAAGTGGTTAGAGTATCTCCTTCCAAGGGCTCGTCTTTAAGTACCTTCGAAGCACCAGTTACTGCACCTTCCTGTTGGTTCATTTGAATGCAGTAAGTTCTCTCTTTCAAATTACTCGTTATAATTACTTCGTCCAAAATATGTCATCATTAATCATTCAACTTCACCTGAGAAAGAAATTACTATCGAAAATGAAGGTGCGGACATTTTCGGTTATGTCAGTATAAATCTAGATAAGAAATACTTTCGACAGTTCTACTTACGTGTTTTTCTCTTTCACCGCTGCATTGATGTTTTTGTTGTCGTTCCAGTAGGTCTGTAGTCTTTTCAAAGAGCTGCCTGTTCTGGCGAACGGTAGTATCTTCTTTCAAACGAGGGAGAATGGTGCCCGTAATACACTCGCTTGAGGGTGGATCATCCCTAGATTTTGATGTGTAATCCAATATTTCATACGTGTCGAAGAGAGGATAACAGTAGAGCAGAACATAGAGCCAATGGTGTTCACCGAGTTCTTTAAGTACCTTTGGCACGAGAATTTTCAACTTGTGCTCAGTACTGTAATCAAAAATAACACTCCGGGGAGCTTTGTGAAGATTGCTGATAAGTTTGCGAAGTCCAGCATCGTCAAATATACTGATGATATCTACACCCGAGTCACGCTTGTGGTAGCTCACATTGGCGACGAGAACAGACAGAAATGCCAATTGACTTGTAGATGTTGCAGAAGAAAGCGATTGTACAACCCATAAGAACAAAGAGTTCCTTTTCAAATCGTCTTTGTTCGGAGGAAGGTATTCCCGAAGGTCACATTTTGTTCCACCACTTGGGGAGAGCAACTGTTTTAGTTCGACTATCTTTATTTCAAAGTTGTTACTCCTGATACCAGCATACAAGTCTTGGAGGTGAAATACCATTCCCCCAAAGTAAGTAGTAGGAAGGTTTTCTGATACAACATTTCGGTGGACATGACGAGGCCAAGAAGGTGACTGTTTGAAAAACTGTGTTCTTTCCGAAGCTGACGTGTTGGTGGGATTGCAGCAGTATTGAAAATAATAGCTTTGATCCAACGGTGGAAATATTTCGCACGACCATAGATTTTGGGATCCGTTTTTCTTTAATTTTTCCTTTTCCCACCTGAAGCAAATCACAACTTCGGAGGCGTTTACAGCGCCTGTATGAAGAACGAACTTGACCTGCAACCGAAACAAATTAAATGTATAGAACAACACTGTTGGATTTGAAGAAAACTAAGCCCGACCCAACCCACCCTTGCCAAACTCAACCCACACAATTTTAGTTTGAGGGTCACTAGCCATGTTAAACAGCGCACATTACAGGTTTTCTTTCAGTAAATACACCTTTTAAAAAATGTTCTCGTAAGAAACCCTCCAGATTAGAACATTTATGGAAACATTTACCCCGAGCAGTCGCATGTTCACAGAGTCTTTTCAAAGTACGTGTACATAATTAGACCTGAAAAAGACTTGTCGTTTGTTAGGTTGCTTTTTTCTTTATCATTTCCATAGAGGTGCTCAGTATTTTGAGACTTCTGTTTACCGGCATACAGGCGTAAAATGGAAGAGTAAAAATTTGTAAGTACGTTACGTTGTGTGTTGCAGTTAACGTGAACATTTCCCACTATAAATACCCGTCGAAAGGTTTGCCCAGTAATTCAAGACACAAACTTCCTCAAATGGAGAAACCTATTCTACTGGTTTTTTTTACATCTCCTCCCTTGTGCGCATTTATATTGCCTCTTTACCCACTACTGATGACCGACAGAATCGACGGTGCATAAAAACCCAGTTCATCCCATACCTTCATAAACATATAAAGAAGACAAGCAATGCAAGTTGCAGCTATCTTTATCATTTAAATTACATAGCGCAAACTTCACGGACATGCAAAAAGATGTCCCATCACGTCAGATTATGAGGAAGAGTCGGAACGCATGAATTCTTTTAGCAGTACAGTAAGCGGGATTACCAAAAGGTGATGCAAGGAAATTTGCATTAAAAGTGGGGGAAAAATAAAAACAGTGATTCAGTACGGAAAAACATGAATACAAGATTTCTTTCCTATGTTTCTTATTTCATTCTCACCCCTAGTTACTTTGGGGCAGCACGTCTACCGATGTGAAATTTGAACACAACTATGTAGGTGGTTTGTAGTGGGTAAAAACTGTATATAATTTTGCTTATTTGAAAAACAGGTACGGTGATCTCCTAGGGTTTCTGAAAAGAAACGCCTGGACAGAGTGCCATCAGAATTCGCAAAAATGAAGTTGATCACATGTTACCGCTACATTTTACCAATGAAATATAAAACACGTCCCAAATTTCAAATTTTGATCGCTCCAACATTTCCCTGCAAGCCGGAAATCATTTTGTCCGAAATAAAGTCTTTTCTGATGAGTATATGACAAGAAATGGAAGTACATTGTGCGCAAAATGCCGATGTCTGAATAGCCGCTGACATGGTATAAATTTAGTGAACATTCTAGATTTCAACTCCAGTAATAAATATTTAGCAAACGTGTTTGTTATTGTTTAAAGGTAGTGTACACCACGAGTAAAATCCTCCAAATTAGGCTACCATATAATCCTGAAATATCTTCAAGTACTTGAAAGAAAGTACGGATAGACCATACGTGGGCCAGAAATCAGAGCTTACAGGTTCGTTGAGAGTTTCGAGTGGCAACTTACTTTTTGCTCTAATAAATACCTTACATACTATGAATCTACATTTTTGTCTGTTGCCATCCGGATGTTTTGCTCTTTAATGTTAAAAATAAGGGTATATGTATATGTTATGTATATATGTTGCCATCCGGATGTTTTGCTCTTTAATGTTAAAAATAAGGGTATAGAAATGCGAAAATGCTCATGTTTTGTTCGCCATTTTTCCAATGTGCCGATAGAGGGCGCTGTCTCCAACTTCGATCCTTAATTAAAACTCATGAAATACCACCGTTGCACCTGGGGACGAGTGGCACTCGAAGTGAACATGGTACACTGATACTGACATGGTGCCGTCCGTGAGCATACCGTGAGTATACGCTAAGCAGTTTTATCAAAAATGAGCAAAACAGGAATTGCACCCTCTTTTGGTGACCTTGGGAGTTGTCTGACGTGATGGCAACGAACAGACTTAAGTTGAAGACAAATGATTCCATGTTGTCACTCGAAAGTGAGAACGGACCTCCAGTTGCAGTGAAGCTACGACTTCTAAAACGGCCTCAATTAGTCTATAAAATATTCCTGCCATGATGCTCTCGTTTTTCGATAAAAAAACAAGTTTGGTCCTTTTTTTTAAGATTTTTTTTTCACTTCGAACACAACATTCTTTAACAGGCGCCAACGTTCTTGTGTGTAGTTTGCATATTGTGGGAGTCCCCATTTAAATACGGGTTAACCTAAAAGCAGCCAAAAATATACAGGCAAAAAATTCACCAAAAGCATTGTAAACTGAAATTAAAGGAACCTGAGTATAAGGTGTAAAGTAGGAAGTGAATTGGATCAGTGTAAAGTAAAACATTATTTAAGGAAAAGATTTTCTTAACAGGAAAACTTTGCGAATTAGAAATCACCCCTAGAGCACAATGGTTTGATCCAAATATGGTGGCTGTTTCCGACCAGAATTTTGAAAGGGATTTTCGTTAACAAAATGTACGATTTCCACTCGTTAAATCCCCCCCCCCCTTGTTTCAAGACATAATTTCTTTGCTGGTAATTATTAGTGAATCAACTAAGAATGGAGTTTTTAGACTTTCGTCGACGTGAAAACTGACGTGAAAGTGCGGTCATTAACCGTGTGCGCACGTGCATTATCACATAGGCCTACTTGTTTCGGCAATGTTCGGTGTCACCATGGAAGCATAAAACACATCTCCATGGTGTCACGGACACGAGTCGACTGCGTTCCTAGAGACAGTTTTTTGATGAATCTGCAATGCTACATGTACATTGTGGAGGAGGCGCATGCTACAAGGTAAATTCACTGATAACTCCTAGCCGTTGAAACTGCTCCTTTTTTAAGGAAATGAGAATCTGTCATTCCTGTTTCCCTTCCTGACCACGTGGATGTTTGTTTACTAAGAACGCCCTGTATTCCATAGATTTTACGCAAGATAAATTACAAGATCTTCGATTTAAGTGCTACAGGTTGCACTACGCCAAATACGCGCTCATAGAAAACAGTGCAAAATCGTACCGAAATAGCGCCGCCTGTTGACTCTCGTGAAGGGGTTGGCCTCCGTTTTTTCACTTGAAATTCAAGATGATGGCCAGCAGATCACTTTTCGTTTCAATTCCATGGGGGTTAGCCACGAATTTGTTTATTCGCCTTTGAACAAACATACCCCCAAAATGGCAGTAAAACTAAGCGCTCATTTCTGAATGTATAGCCGCCCGCCTCTATCCAAAATAGGTCCGCAATTTTGGGCTATTTGTGAAAGAAATACCCCGAACTGGAAACTACAAGTCCTAAATTCGAGATTTATAAAATATTTCTATGATGCCTCCTGATTATGGCCTGTCTTATTGTAAAACTCCCGTGGGATCCCAAAATATTAATGAGCTGGCGCGCAGAAATAAAACCATTGGTGGAATGCACCCTGAAAACCATGCCGCGCTGTTTTCACAAAGCAGTCGACTCAAACGTGAAACAAGTCAGTGGAATGTAAGTTGCAGTGAATATTATACACTGTAATTAGCCAATTTTGTGAAATTACGACCAAAAAACCAATGGTGTCCACTACATTTAAGGGGGAAAAAATCAACCAGGTGTCTTAGCCACCCCATGGTAGGGCAGGAGTAAATAGACAAAAATAGCTTGGGAAAAGGGCGACCACTCTTGAAATGTCCACCAGTTTCAACTTCAGGAATCAAAAAATTTCGTGAACAAAGTACAATCATTTTTGCATAAACATAGAGTGTCACTTATTATTACCATAGCAAGTGTGGAGCTGGATACTCAACCCTTGGAAAAAATTGTTAAAATTTAACATTGCCGTTTCCAGACGAAAGCAGTATTGCGTGCTGGGGGACTGTCCCCGATGAGTAACATTTTTAGTATGGAGCGCCACAGGTACAAAATGCCCCGTACGGCTTACGTGAGAATGAATACACTTACTCCTTCTCTTTTTCTAGTTGCCGTGTCAACGTTTGTTTCCCTTCCGGTGCTGGGGCCTTGACTATGTCGTGAAGATGCCATTTTTCTTACTCGTTGCTTCAGAGAAACGTAAACGGGGCCTGTAGTATAATGAAAGACAAATTAATTGGATTTCAGTTGAAGAAAAGATTTTTGTCTATTTTTTTTAAGACGTTTCAATTAATTTTGCAGGGAAGGGCAACCAAAATAATTGAAGCACCACTAAGAGGAAGGTGTTCTAGTTCCGGAAGGGTTCGTTTCTACCAACCCGTAGACTAGTAACGCCCACCCAAAGAAATTCAATAGTCCGCACGACTTTGACTGCCCTAACCCATTTAATGAAAAACAATGCAATCTTAACATTCACATGCAATCATTAAATAAGGCACAACCGTCTCGTTTGTGTAGTTTCATCTAAAATACTCAGCACATATTTCGGAAATCTTACCAATGTGGAGTATGCGGGTTCCTTCGGCAATGTGTGGCTGCGCCGGACGCCAACACTCCCAGGGTAGAACGCACAGGCTAGTGCCAAAAAACCTCTGGTGGCCGCATGTCACGATCGCGTTCCTATCTGATGTCTACTTGACACTGTGCTCAGAGTCCCCCACAAAGAACCCAACCACTCACATCGCGGGCCCTCGATCCACACACTGTTTGTCTTGATGACTGGATGGCATGTGCGTAAATATGGGAGCCCCTCAAGCTCCCCAGCACTGAAATTTGAAGCAAGAAATACTGCGTCGGAGTTTCGTACACTCAGGAAATTCCCTTTCCAACCCCCGGCCCCCTAGCTCTTGCATTATTAACAGTACTGACGCCATTTGTACCTGTATATATTACCGCTTGCACGTGCAAGTACTGTACTCTTCGTAACGTGTACATGTACATGTATGTACTGTACACACGTACATTGTACATGTACAGTACATGTACATGTACATGTACAGTACATGTACATGTACATTGTACTTCGGGGTGATACAGGACACTAATTCTAGCCCTGTTGAAACCTGCTTTAAAAGTTCAGGGACAAATACAATGCAATTCAACATCACTGGAGTTTTTGAAACAAAAATAAAATTGCTGCCAAGTCCTATATCTTTAATCATCTCTTCTCAATTTGGCAATTTCCCTTTAAATATTCAACCCAAAACAAAGTCACTTCCCCAAAAGCGATATACTTCGTAAATTACCGTGACTTGCGGTAGCAGCCGTGTGACATCCCTCTGCAGTAAGTCTTTTTCTCAGCCATATAATTTTATGTACTCGCCAAACAATCTCCTTTTTCAAAAGATACTGTGGGTGGGGGCACTTTTAATGCTAATGAGCTGGTCAAACATTCTCACTTGAATTAGTGGTCTGCACCCTCCAGGAGCGCGGCACAGTCACGTACACGTACACTGTTCTCGCAAAAGGAGTCTGTGCGGTCGCGGTTGCTTGTTTCTTACAAATAGTACATGTACATCACTGTATGGTATACATGTACATTGTACATGTACAACCGTACATCGATATACACGTTTAAATGCACTTGAAATCCACAGACGTACATGTACATGTGAGCAAATTTGGAAAGCTGGTGGGGGGGGGTGATATTGGGAGCAGTGTTCATGATATTGATGTACATGTACTCTATCTGTAATATGTATTCATAAGGGCACATTTATGGCTTTTTAAATCGCTGTCCCGTTTATGAATGATATTGAATGCATTTTAGTCATAAGGAAGTCTGAAAAATTCTTTACAGTCCACTTTAAACTTGTGCTCACCAAAACTTAAAGTGTGTGTGGGCAGGATGATTCAATAGTCCACCCCCCCCCCAAATGAGGGGATATATACACCCTCCCCAGGTTTACGCATGGGTGTTTGGCGAACGGATAGGGAAAAGGCCACCATCCTGGAACATTTACGAGAAAGGAGAAAATTGCCCCAAACTCCAATTTCTGAAGATCTGCAATATGACATGATTGTGTTATGGTAGGATGTATTATTTAATCTAGAAATATAATTATTTGAAGCAGGCTAACAGCTACATTCAAGTCTATGTGGTGGAACCGAGTCGATCCAAACTTGGGTCTGATTTTGCGCAGACGCGAAGGAGACAGGCCGCGCTGATTGAGACGAGCAACTTGGGAATCAGGGGATAATTATAACACCCCTCGGCCTTGACTCTTCAATCCGTCGTCAGTTGATGGATGCGGACAGTGGATAGTGCAGATGAGATAAACTCAGATGTAACAGCTTTTCGAAAAGCTCGCTTTGGTTGACAACTCTCAAAATTGCCTTCCAAAAAGATAGCCCGGTCTCTTGAGGAAATCAATGTCTATACTGAAATCATTTTGATTCTTCAGCCACTCTCCAATATAAGAGAACCGTGAAGAAAGCTCATGCGTTTGCTTTTTGTCAGTGTTTGCTAGGCCACATATTGGATGCAACTCTGGTGAGTTGGTCGGGTTAGCAAAATAGTTCTTTCCCCGCCTTTAACCTCTGCGGACTGCGGCCCAGGTTTGATTCCCGGCTCGGTCCACACGTGTATTGGGGTTTCAGTCTCTACCTGATTCCTCGGGTTTGACCCAGAATTATTTCTCTGGGGTTTCCTCCCACCTTTAAAACTGTAGAGGTTACAGGCTACCCAGGACTTATGATATATGTGTCTTATAATTAAGTCGCTCGGGCATGTACAAATGTATGGTAAACACACACTCACCCCAAGCGACGTAGGCCAAATATTCCTGTATTTACATAAAAATTCACATTATTGGGATGGTGCAGTTAACAAGACATCTATGCATCATATTGTTCGTATAAAGCTTAATTTAATTTTCGGCTGCTACCGACTCTTGTTTTTTATGAACAAAACACATGTTTTACACTCAAGACACATTTCATTTGTTAGTATGATTTTGATTGGGAAACGCTTCTAGAAACACAGTGCCCAATAAAAGAAAATGAAATATAGGTAAAATGTCTCATTAAAAATAAGCAACCAATTGAGAAATATTTAAGGCTGTCTGCAGATGTTATCATTACTTGCCACAGTAACGCACATATGAAAATGTAGAGAGATTTGGTCAATTATTAACCATGCTTATTTAGAAAACAGGCCGGGGAAATATCGTGTAATGTACCTTATAAAATGTTATAGGATGAGGCAAATGTTGAAGTTAGAAAACTGGTTTGCGGAGCACAATTCACGGGGCGTTATCCTTCCGAACAGCCAGTCGTTCTGCTGTTGCTAAATACTAGAAAGGACCAAACTCTGGTTGTGTTTTTCTTTATTTTCTGACTTCCTGATTCATATTTAGACCTACAACCCATTTATGATGATGCCTTGTATTGTTGACACGAGACAGCTGTAGTTTTTGGCGTTGCCAGCCGATGCCTTGCCAGCGCTAAAGACACACCATTTCCCGCCGTGCCTCGCCAACCAGCCCATGACTATGGCCTGGGAGTAGTTCAGTTTCTTGATGGTGTCCTCGCAGAGCATCTTGCCAGGGTTAGACTCTTCGTAGAACCTTAGACTGGGATTTGGGTATCTGGAGACAGTGGGTGAATTCCAAGCGCTGAGGGTGAAGAACAGGTGAGTGGTCGCACTTGGGATGCTGTGAAGATTAACTTTGATCAAGTGATGGCCTTTACGAGCATAATCATCCATCAGATCTCCCGAATGGCACATGGCGGGTCGCACTGTATGGCGGTAATCAAGAACGTACAAAAGCTTGACTCCTTCAAAGACAAGCACACTTGCGTCAAGATAGTCCCTGCCATTTGTCGGATAGCCCCAGTACAGGTCAAAGACAACCTTGTCCAAGCCTGACGGTGCTGCGTAAAGAAGCCTCCGGACATGGATGGTCGTTTTAGGAACCACCTGATAAGAGCCAAGGGTCGCCTGAGCATGTGTATCAGTGAGTTCCTGTAAAATGAAAGATCACAGAAAGAATTAGAGAACGTCATTCAAAATGAGCTGCAGCTGCAGGCTGTTCTATGAATTTGTTACAAGTTGTATAAAGATGCATGGCGTCAAAAATACTACATGTACATCTATATAGCAGGTCATTGAAGTGGGACGGCGGAGGCCAGTAGGCATGGACAGTTTCTCGTCTTTTCAAGACGCCCGTTTCAGTGAAAAGAGTCATATATTTTACGGTCTCCAATATACCTTCATTTCTTTCCCGTTATAAACCAGCTGTTGATTCTCCAGCGGCACCTTCAAACTCTGTCTAATAATTTCTTTCAGCCTGGACACTGTCATGGCGGGATTCAGCTGCACACTGGTGCTGTCGCCATTCAGCATCGCCATGCTGATGTAGCCTGTCTCACCAGTCGTCACCGTGGCGGTCTGGGGGACAAACGTGGGCTCATATTCGGGAAACAGTGCCTTCAGTTGATAGTAGCACTGTTTCAGACGACTGGAGGTTTGGCTGGCATCGTTCCCACACTGAGAGCATTGTCCATGCTGTTCAGCATGTGCCGTCACACACTGCATAAAAAGTGTAATAAAAATATATGTAGGCCTACTGCCTAAATTGAAACATTTCCAACACACTCGTCTTCAGTGTGGAAGATAATGCTTGGCCGTCACTAATTATAAATCGAAGAAATTTGTGTTACATGATCATCCTCGTATCTGCAAGTTATCTTCGAATACAATCATGCATAACCTCAATAAATTCAACACTAAGTCTCGAAGGCAAAGCAGTGATACACATGTACATGTAATGTGGACACAGAAATATGATTACCCTCAGACAGTGCAGTACAGCGTGGTTGCAGGACTCCACCAAGGTCCATGGCGGGAACTCACGGGAGAGCTTCTGAACGTCACACTTGCCACATTTCATGGCGGTGGAAAAAGCTTGCGATCTCGGGAACACTGAACGACGCCAAGGGCTACCAGTCCGTCAAAGCTGAACGTAGTTGACACACGAGTAGCGGACCGGCGAGACGACGGGTTGTTTCGTGGGTCAAGCCGGCGAGTACAGCCCCGGTACACCCTGAAGTCGAATCTAATTACTACGTATACTATAGGTACGGGTTTGGTTATGAAAAGACGATGAAGGAAGCTTTTGGGGTTTGGTTGGTCGATGTATTGGCTACGAAAATCAGTGTACCAATTTGTAATGTACTACGACGTTATAGGGGTACACCTGGATGGACAGGGCGTACAAGTACTGTATCTCTGAGCAAGATCCGAAATCGGCGAGTTTGCCATGCCCTGAATGCCTCCAGTGGTCGTTAGGAGTTATATTTTTTACACTAGGCCGTCCATACACCAATATGCCACAAAAATGTCATTTCGCAATGTGGGTTTTTCCGAAAACACGCAATACACTATCAGACACAGATCTGAATAATGTTTTTCTGTCAGCCTAGCCCCACGCACATCAAAACATTGACGTCAAAGGTCGTGGTTTCAGGTTGTATCGAGTACGTATGGCCGTGGATTTCTCAGTCGGGGGGTTTCCCGGCTGAGAAACACAGTCGCGTGATCCAACTTCCCGCCCCGCCCCACTGGTTCAGCAATTCAGGGACCGTGTGAAATGACAACTGTGGAGTGAATGCACAAATAAGGTCCAGATCAAAAATTTGACATGGTAAACCTTCGGAAATGTCACATTACAAGGATAAAAACAGGCATAGTGTAACTTGGTAACAGGAATTTCAAGTCATTACTGCAGAGGCGCAACCAAGACGTCGTGATTTGCACGCTCGCGTCAAGTCCACCGCAGCTACGACCTCTCCTTGAATATTGGTCTAGTCTTTAAATAATTGCAGCCCTCCTCTCCGCGCTCTAAGTTCTGAATGTATAAAAGAACAAGCAATTAACTATGATTTATGTCATAGTCCACATTCAGTATATTATTTGGTAACAGCGTACGTCTCATTTAAACAAACATGAAAACGGAACAGATTAATACCCCTCTTGCCAATCGAGATCATCTGACCAATAAAAAAGCCTCTCCATGCCCCAAATTTGATCTTACCAAATTTGGAAAATTAATCCGGCAGGCCAGCTATGAATATCTTTCACGGTGATAAAAACTGAATCACAAATGACAATGACAAAACTCCTGGAGACTTTAATTAAAATGTGTCAAATTATGTGAAATACGTGTAAATCTACTGTGAATGTATTACAAAGGAAAAAAAAACAATTATCCTACATGATCACCTTTAATTTCAACAGCATGATCACTATCTAGTCTCCTCAACATTTTGGAAGCATACAACCCCTTGAAAGCCACACGATTTTTTCTGCGTATTGTGAGGGTTTATCAAAATGTATTAAATGAATGTAAAACATCAATCCATTTCCTGCTTTTGTCTTGTGTACCACGCTGATCACGCTTTACTATCCATTTGCACTGAATCTGAGCACAAGCTAATGTACACATTACAACGCATGCTAAATTTATTATTTTTGCTGTTACATTTTGTGCTAAATCGGCGTTTGATGCTGATTCTTGTCCAGATATCACATCATACAAGAATGACAATGAACGGAGGCACTAAATTACAAAACATCAAATCGTGGATCTTGCTAACCACTTTAATTAAGTCACTTCTTAAAATCTCCTCTTTGGGAGGGTAGATACTTTGTTCATGTTTTTGGGAGTGCAATAATACCTATTAATAGTACCTTTTCATTAAAGAATACGTTTTAAAAAGACAAATCGTGCCATGCTATTTTCTTTATGTCTATTTTAGCAGTCTTGGTGTGGTTGAGATTGTTGCTACAACCCATTGGCGATGATGTCAGTGATTGTTTCATACAGAGGTTCATAGTCTTCGGAGTTTCCGTTCGAGGCCCTGCCAGCACTATACACGCACCATTTTCCTTTGTTCCTGGACAGCCAACACATCACTATCGCCTGGGAGTGATTGACCCTGGTGATAGTGTCCTCGCACAGCATCGTGTCCGGGTCTGACTCTTCATAAAACCTCAGGCTCGGGTTGGGGAACTTGGCGATAGTAGGTGACTGCCAGGAACTGAGAGTGAAGAAAATATGCGTGAAAGAGCTGGGTACTTGTTGCAAGTCTACGTTCATGAAGTGGTGACCGGTCCTGGCCCTGTCGTCCATGCGGTCGCCCGAATGTCGCAGTGATTCGTGCGACAATTTCCTGTAATCCAGGTAATCGATGAGTTCTGTGCCGCTGAAGATTATGGCCGTTGCATCTAGGAAGTCCCTGCCAGTTGACGGGTAGCCCCAGTGCAGGTCGAACACCACCTTGTTCAGGTTGTTTTCGGGGGCCGAGAACAAGAGGCGTCTGACGTAGATGGTCGTTGTGGGTAACACCTTGTAGTGGCCGAGGGTGGCAGCTGCCTTGTCATCTGTGAATTCCTACATGGGAAAACACAAAAAAGACAAGCAATGAGAAAGGAAGACAGCATGCATAGGAAGGTTACTAACGCAATAATTAACACATCCACACAGGTGTTCTGTTTTTTGTCGAACTTTGGTGTCATAAAGTTACTGAACCGGCGAGTTATTGTTGGATTTAGTTCACAATTTCAGTCACTCCGACAGTTTGTGTCTCACTGAGGAATCGTTTGGCATGACGGTTATTGGATAGTATGAAATGTCCCACCTTCATTTCTGTACCATTGTAAATCAGCTGTTGACTCTGGGTTGGTACGCCGAGATTTTCTTTGACTATCTCTCTCAATCTTGCAACGGTCATGGACGGCTTGAGTTGGACGTTAGTGTTGTCGCCGTTCAGCATGGCCACACTCACGTAGTCTTTCTGACCGGTCGTCGTTTCTGGTGGAGGGACGCATGTTGGTTCGTACACCGGAAACAGTGCCTTCAGTTGGTTGTAGCATCGTCTAAGACGTGTGGAGTCTTGACTTACTTGGCTTTCGCATTGGGAACACTTGCCATGTTGTTCCACATGACTCAAAACACACTACAAAAAACCACAAATTTGGAATTTATTGGAGATTGCTTGAAACAAGCAAAATAATGTGCCATATCAACTCACGTTAATGCCTCCTTTTTTATTTCACCAATTTTGTACTTGTACTTCATTTTTTACAGAAACCATGTTAAGAAACCACAGCAAACTGTGAATATCGATTATCTGTTAATATTTTCAGTATGTGGCGTGAAGCGTTTAAATACATGTGCACTTTAAAACAGAAAAATGACATTATAATTTAATTGACTATGCACCCTGCTCTTGTCGATGAATATTTAAAAGTAAGGAGAGGTCAACAATGTGTGATTAAGATTCTATATTTACTCTGATGCAGTGGAGGGCAGCGTGTTCGCAGGAGTCAGACAGGGCCCTTGGTGGAAATTCGTTGGAGAGTTTATTCACTCCGCACTTGTCACATTTCATGATGAGACATCATACGGGTATCACTGAAATGATATTCCAGAGATAGATAAGACTTCCAGATATTCCAGAGTTTAGTGAGTTGGACAAATTCTGGAAAAGTGAATCCCTGTTAATAGTGTTGCTGATTATACAGTATAAGATGCCAATTAGCTTGAAACTAGGTTGTTTTACCCGATTGAGAAGTTATTCTCAGTTCAACTTCCATAAGCTGCCCGCGCCTATATAGGCCTACATGTGTGCGGGTGTAAAAACATTTTGCGGAATTTGGTTTGCGAATTACAAATTAACCGTGTATTTTTTTGGACCAAACAGATTTCAACATGGTGCAACGTTAACACGTACGTGGCAGCGGAGGAATGGCATCGGGCACGTTTTCGATTCCTGTTGGCCTGATCTGTCACTGAGCTAGGGTCTTGATTGACCCATGCTCGAGAGGCCTGGCACTTCCAACACGTTATACGCGGTTCTCTCAGCCACAATGATCGTAATGTGTAGCCCCCACGGTCATGAAGACTGTAGTCCTTGTCCATGTATTTTTACAAAATATTATGAGCCCACACAGGGCCACAGATTAGTTTCTAAGTCACGTTCCGCACACTAGAACCAAAGGTATTGAGGCATTATGTACACGTAACGGCATTTGATCGTAGTACTTACGGTTTAGTATGGTAAAAATAGGAATCGTTTAAGTCCGCTGCAAGGAGTTTGGTCAGTTTCTTGATCATCTACAACGAGGATGTTGGTGGGAGCTAGAAACTAGACCATAATGCCACGGCTCAACCGAATAGGTCGTTTCTCATCGGGAATTTCCCGTTATGTCATGGCCTTGACAACCCTGGAAGTGTCTCCTCGGTGAGCTTGAAGCCCGCCCTCTCTCAGGTGATCGTGGAGAAGGTTTCGTTCTGGGTGATTACATGCACTTAGTGTATTTCAATATCGTTTTTTTTTTCCGAGGCAAAGGAGGAAAATAAGAATTTGAATTAATGACGCATACGTTACTTATTTTCCTCAGTGAAATTTGGCCATTTAATTTAGACTGACAAATTAATTTGGTGTTTTTACAAATCGGTGTGCAAATAAGGCTTATGGAAATCGGGAATGAATAAACAGGACTGTTTAGAATTATTGGGCTCACAATTGAAACGACTGCATTTGTAATGATTGTGATAATGCCACTGTATGCTGGTGTTTATCACGGGAAGCACAAAGGATTATAACAAAGCTGGCTCTATATGGAATGAACAAAACCAATTCCATGCAAATTGATTCGCGCTGATATCCCTAAAGCTGCAGTACAATGCCGTGTGTTGAGATTTTATCGTCATTACTTATGGCAAACTTTAAAAATTCCAGCGTAGGAGATAATGTGTCTGAAACGGACGCCTGACTGTCGCCAAATCTCTTTGGGACAAACATTTTGTTTTCAGGACTCGAAGAGGCTATTTAGTTTGATGCGGACTTACACGGAAAAAATCTTTCTTTAAAATATGACAAAGTGTTATACGGTCACGACCGGAAGATGGAGAACGTTGAAACAAGGTTTTGATTTTTCTTAATGAGATGTCGGCAGTACGTAGAACGCACCAGTTTTCAGTGTTCATTTTATTTTATTGCAATGTGTTCAGGAACCCTCGCAGATTCCTTACTCCTTTTGTAGCCTGAACCCAACAACTTTTCTTATAGATCCACCGAAGTAGGCTTCCGTAAAACATGATAATACAGCTTCGACACTTTGGGCACACGTTGCCACATCAACAGTCCTCTTGCAACGTCGTGTTCCTCACCTTGGTAAACTTAAAATCTGTTCAGGCCAGCCGTGAACATGCTGGCTAATAAATGCATTTTCCACAGGTACACAGTGAGAAAGCTCTCCTTTTGATCTCTTGCTGTTCGCAGGTACATTACGTTTATATACACACTGATTGGGCGTCAAGAACCTCTTGCAAAGACAGCAACATTGTTTTGATAACTGAACAGCACTTAAGTGTTAACTATGTTGCTTTGACCACTGCTTGCTCTGCGTTCTGACAGTGTCTAGACGCAGATGTTTGTTTGTCCGGTGGTGGCGCCTTACCACAGTCAACCGTCTTTTCGGATGCCAGGTCTCCGCCAGGTTCGTGGGTACAGGGTAACATTGAGTGTCCCTGAGGATATAGAGCCTTCATCTTCATCCTCCGATATCTTCTCTTCTCCTCCAGCACCTGGATCTCCAGTCGGAACCGCTTCCGTGTCTGTTCACGTATCTCGCGGGCCAGCTGTCGCTGCTCGTGGGCCGTCTCCATCTGGATGGCTAGCAAGGCCATCTTGGCCTCGTGCTCGCTTCGTGCGTAGTCCACCGACGTCCACTGCTGTTGGCCGGGGCTGGAGTCGCAGTTCGTTTCAGGATGACCGTCGGCTGTTTCGTGTCTGAAATCACTGTCACTTTCGCATCCAAAAACTTCTCCTAGTTACACATAGAAAATAACATGCAAATTACTTTTTTCATATTTAAAAAAAATTTTATTGTAAGTTTCAAAAATTTAAGTCTCACAGCTAGCCCCTGACAGTGAGATGTTTGTAGCTCATCTTAATTCAGGAGTCTTAACATGTTTCATAAATAAGAAATTAACCAGATTGAATTTCAAAAGGTGTAACTGGGATATATCCAATAGTCAGGAAAATTGAATATCACCGGACAAGAACACACCCATATCTTCGGCATCCGAATCAAGAATGTCGCCATACTCTCCATCCCCGTTTTCCACTTCACCGTTGCTTCTCCCATCAGAGTAAGCCTCTGCCTCATCTTCATCCGGGCCTGCCTCGAGTACCGGGGAGAAGTGCTCTGCTGCATCTCTCTCCAGCTCCTGTTGCTGCGGTTGTTGTTGTGGTTGCTGCTGCTGTGGTTGCTCCCACTGATTCTGATGCCCCTGGAGGGGTGACCATGGATCATTCGGTTCATTTTTGACCACTATAGGCACTAGCGATGATAACAGGATCCCGTCTGCGAGGGTATTCGCGCATGCAACCTGTGCAAGGCCGACTCGGTCATTGGCCGTCCCTCCGGTGGTTTTGACACCGCAACTGTTCCACGAGGAAGCCGCACCGGTAGGTTTTGTCGAACTCGCGGCTGGTGATTTGGCCGTGGGCAACTTGAGCGTGGAATACCCGTTGACGGCTGTAGATTTCTTGGCCCGCATCTTGAGGTTATTCCAGTATTTCCGTAGCTGACGATGCGTCCGTTTCACCACATCGTGCTCAGCGTTGAAGGCGGCCACTATCCGAGCCCAGGCCGCATCCTTTCGCCTCACCGTCAAGCCGTCGTTTTTCTTCGACTCGACGATCTCGATGTTTTTCTCGATCAGACGCAATAAAATGTCTCTCTCCAACACCGAAAAGTTGAGCCTCTTTGATTTCGACGCCATTTTCCCCGATACTCATGCACCACTAGAACGAGGTCAGAATTTAGATGCCACACGTAGACCTACACATTACTCAATACGCACAATACTTGAGCATGATTATTATACAGTGTATTTTGTAATGGCACATATAACGCGCGCCCAAGGCTGACCTTTTATAAGCTGGCTTTACATTATGCATCGCTGGTAATCGTACTCAAACCCGATTGATCCCACAGCGAGTGTGTACGTGTACACCTGTAAGTCATGCCTCGGTTGCTACGATGGAATTATTGCGGATACCAGCACCAAATTGCATTATGCCAACCTCAAGTACCGTTATTACGATCAGCTTCGGGTGAGCCAGTGAGTATGACTACTGCTCACAGTAGGCTTCAGTGGAAACGAATACGCTGAGTTTAGACCTTGCTCTATGGTTTAGGCTTCCATCTAAGGTACCGCGGTGGAAAGGGGACAAAATTTTCTTTGAGTGCAAACAATATCTATGGTGTACCACCCGCTTGTTACGTTCAGAAGATGGCAAGGGACTGCACGGTGGAAAAGAACAGGGGGGGGGAGGAAAAGAAGAAGAAAAAAAAGGAATACAAGAAACAAAAATAAGACAATATAAACATTACATAACCTTAAAAATAAACATAAACTAACAAACCAAAAATAACAAAACAACCTGCGTGGGCCATGATTCGCCCGTTGTGCATAATGTACAAAGGCGCTGGAAATATCTGATTTGGGATCGAGGTCATAATGCAGGCACCACAATTTATGTCCGCCTTAAAATTTATGTTTGGTAAATTTGCCCTTTACCTTCGCGAAGCATCGTACTTCCCGTGAAGAGAAGCCCGCGACAGTGCCTTTAGTTAGTCATGTGAAATGTTTTGGTTGTACATGTATAAGGTTGAAAAAGCTGTTATTCTAATATTCGGCACCGTTTTGAACAACACCGTCTCATGTGATAAATATATATCCAAACCAAGTCAGTGTACACGTAGATTGGACCATGGACGCAGTTCCTTTTTCCACAGTAGTGGATGCAAATTGGACGCAGAAAGAAGAACCAAGCAGATGTGTTTAAGGGACGAGACTTGCACTTTTATTACAAATTCTGGTATGTGTTTTTTAGTTTAAGTGAAATAATTACAAGGCAATATCAATCCATATCTTTGAGCAATCCTAAGAACTGCAAAATCAAGGACTTTTACGAATTAAAACGTGATATTCAGACAAAAACAGTGGAATTGTCCACTAACTTGTCAATAAAATCTATCAGACAGAAGCAGATTCCCACTGACATTATCTCAGTATAACATACAAAGGTTAAGAACCAGAATGATTTCATTATGGCTTGAAACGTATTTAAGGATGGATCTAGAACCAGAATGATTTCATTATGGCTTGAAACATATTCAAGGATAGATCTAGAACCAGAATGATTTCATTATGGCTTGAAACATATTTAAGGATGGATCTAGAACCAGAATGATTTCATTATGGCTTGAAACATATTCAAA